AGGAGTGGCTGGTGGGTTTGAACCACCAGCCTTCTGGTTAGCAGTCAAGCGCCTTAGGCACTACGCTACCAAATTTAATCCAAAGTGATCGAAATCAGTGGGTAGCAGAAGTATTACCTGGAGAGAGGCACAGGGAAGTTTCTAAGGTTATGAAGATATGCTGTATCTTGATTGGGATGGTGGTAATACTGATGCATTTGTCAAAGGTATTCAATATGTACATTTTATGTTGTTGTTGTGTGTCATTGTGTGAATAATGACTCATAGAGATCCTATGGGACAGAGTAGAACTGCCCCATAGGATTTCTCTAATCTTTATGAGAGCAGGTAGCTAGGTCTTTTCTCCCACAATGCTGCTTGTGGGTTCAAAACTTTCAGTCAGCAACAAAGCCCTCAATCATTGTGTTACCAAGGCTCCTTGTACACTTAATAGATACTTAATATTTATGTGCATTTTATTTTATGTAAATTATACCTCATTAAAAAAAGAGTGGTTTGGGAAAAAAATTAAAGCCATATCCAATATAGTCTCAAATAGGATGTAGCCAGTTTTCTTGACTTCCCTATTATTGTTGTTGTTAGGTGCCATCAAGTCAGCTCCAACTTATAGTGACCCTATGTGCAACAGAATGAAAAACTGCCTGGTCTGCAGCATTCTCACAATCCTTGCTATTCTAGATTCCATCATCACAGCTACTATGTCAATCCATCTCATTGAGGGGCTTCCTCTTTTGCACCGACCCTCCACTTTACCAAGCATGACGTCTTTCTCCAGGGACTGGTCCCCTGTGACAACATGACCAAAGTACTGAGACAAAGTGGCCATTCTAGATTCTAAGGAGCATTCCAGCTGTACTTCTTCCAAGACTTGTTTGTTCTTCTGGCAGTCCATGTCACCACTCATCAGTTTGTTGTACTGTGGTGGGTGCATGTTGCTGTGAGACTGGAAGCTATGCCACTGGTATTTCAAATACCAGCAGGATAACCCATGGTGGACAGTTTTCAGCAGAGCTTCCAGGCTAAGACAGACTGAGAAGAAGGACACGGCCGTCTACTTCAGAAGAAATGGGCCACTGAAAAGCTTATGAATAGTGGTGACTTCCTCTATGGTTTGGGCTAAATATCTTGGGTAGTAGACTGTATATCTCACTCTGTGGCCTTTAATTGGCTGGCAACCTGAGAAAATTGAGTCTATTAATCTCACGTGTGCTGAGCCTTGGCGTGAAGGAAGAATTATTTAGATGGCTTCAGGTTCAGTAATCTTGGAGAAAGTGGCTGTTCATACCCTTACAGAGGTGGGGCAGGACAAGATGGGGCCTGGGACTTCACATTACCTCAGCAAGTTAGGTATCCTTATTCTATACCCACAGTTTCTGTGGTTACCCTATTCATAGAAGTTTAATTCTGTTTGGCTGCTGTTTCCTTAGACGTTTGTCTCCTTAAACAGCAAGTAATCACCTTGAGAGGAGAACTTTTGGCCTTATCAAATCCATACCCCTAGATTTTAGCAAAATATCTGGCCCATAGTACATGTTCAGTGAAATATCAAAAATCATCTTCCAGAGAACTTTGTAAGACTAACATTACACCTTGTTGCTTATTCCTTTGCACAGCTTGCCCATGATTCTTTTACATTTGTTGTTGTCTCTGTGGCCCATAGCTTAGTGTTCTCTGTCTCTCTCTCTTATTCATGTATATGTATGTGTGTGTGTGTGTGTGTGTGTGTCCCAGTCAGGTGTGCTCACTGAGGGAGCTATTCATGTATCTCTATCAAAGTAGGAACGGAACACCTGCTATGGATGAGAGATTATTTTGTTAGACCAATATCCATACCTTTCTCATTTTACTAAGGTCTTGGAGGGTGAAAGACATGTCAGAACAGCAGGGTAGGATTCTCTGGGGGGCCACCATCATTCTGGTAGCCATACTATTCTATTAGACAGACCTTCCCTGAGTGTTGTATGCATATCTGTCTCACAAGTAGGAATCATTTCTCCACCCCCCCACCCCATCTGCCTTGTGCTATGTTCCTTGTAAAAGCAAGGATACCATTGAGAGTGGGTTTTTGTCTTCTAGTCATGCTGGGAGCTATGGGTCTTTCAAGCATTGCCAAAGGTTGAGGGAAGGATAGGGTAGGATCCAAGGGCTAAGTTGAAGACTTTTGCTTCAGCAGTCGGAGGGCCGCATCCCGGATCTGCTTGGTCTTCATGCCATAGATGATGGGGTTGAGCATGGGTGGCATGACGAGGTAGAGATCAGCCAGGAGGATGTGGATGTGCCGGGGCACCTGCTGGCCAAAACGTTGAGTGTAGAATGAGAAGAGTCCTGGTGTGTAGAAGAGCAGGATAACACAGAGGTGGGAGCCACAAGTTCCAAAGGTCTTGGCTCTTGCCTCCTTGGAAGAGAGGCCTAACACAGCCTGAAGGATGAGTGCATAGGAGACTGCGATGAAGATGGAGTCAGTGCCCACCACCAGTGTGGCAGCAGTAATGCCATAGATGTTGTTTGGTTTTGTACTCCCACAAGCTAGCTTCACCACTGCCATATGTTCACAGTAGGAGTGGGCCACCACTCGGCTACAGTAGCTCAGCCTTGCCAATAAGCAGGTGAGTGGGGTCATGAGCCCCAGGCCACGAAGCATAGCAGCAGCCCCCAGCTTACCCACAGCCTCTGGGGGCAATAATGACCCATAGTGCAATGGCCGGCAGATGGCCAAGTAGCGGTCAAAGGCCATTGCTAGCAGAATGCCAGATTCTACAGCTGAGAAGCCATGGATAAAGAACATCTGGGCAGCACAAGCCCCAAAGGCAATCTCAGCAGCATTTGCCCAAAAGAGTGCTAGGAGTTTGGGCACTGTGGAGGTGCAGAGCACCAAGTCAATGGTGGACAGCATGCATAGGAACAGGTACATGGGCTGGTGCAGTGCAGGGTCTGAGCGTACCACCAGCAGCACCACCATGTTGCCGGTTACTGCCAAGGCATACATGGAGCAGAAGGGAAATGCAATCCAAAAGTGGGATGTCTCTAGACCAGGAATTCCCATAAGCAGGAATGAGGCTGGGTTCTGATGGCTGTGGTTTGTGTGTTGCATAGCTAGGCAAGTCAGGGTGAAACGAGAAGACCCTATTGCCTTGCTCTGAGGTCTGGGAGGCCCTGAGAGATGAAACAGTTGCAATCCATCCTCATGATGTGACTGAAAGTAAAATGACAAAAGGAAATATTTGAGTTAGACTTCATGAAAAAAGTCCAGCATGAGAAGATTATAGGGCATTGGGAAGTGATGCAAAGTAGGATGTGGGTTTTCCATCACCCAGGTGGGACCCTTTGCCAAGTCTGTCTATTTCAGTGATCTCTAGACTTGCGGGGAGGGTATGTATGTGATGGCTGCAGAATCCTCTCCATAGTGAGGGTGAGGGGATAGAGACTGTTGCAACTTTCTTCTCTCTGCTGTAAACCCTCTTCTGCCTATACTATAGTGTTGTTTTCTCCTGATTCAGATGCTTATGTGACAGTGTAAGGGTAAGGCAATGATCAAAGGTCAGACATATTGGATGGAAGACTCAAATGTGGGAAAATCAAAACTGAGGGGAAAAGAAGGGAAGAAAGGGAGATCTTGGACGGATTTTTCATGCCATTGTCAGAACTTGGGTTCTGACTAGGAAAAGCCAAGTATATGGTGAGGGGCCGAGTCTCTTGCAGCCTGCAAAAATCATAAGATTGCTGGGCTCAAGTTTAGTACTGGAATTCTGTGCTTGGTTCAAGTATCCTATATTGATGCTAGTAGAAGCAGGTGGAATTGTACAGACTTGGTGAAACAGTGAGGGGCCAAGCTGACTGGTCATGATATGTGATTTGATAAAATAATTAAGAGATGATTGTGTACAAAGTATATTCTCTCGTTAAATGAAAGGTATGAAAGTAAGAGGGGCGGAGAGTGTATTTCAGTCATTGGGAATACAGAATCATTTCCTGTAAGTACATATAGAAACCAAGACTGGTCAAATGATGGTACTGACCACATCTCCACTCCATCTCTTTTGTCCATTACCCACACACTCTCTTCCTTAACCTGTGTGTATCTACTCACATTTCTTTTGTTAGTAGCAGTAAGTAATTGAGAATTTGGGAGAGTAGTGATGAGTAAACAAAAAATTGACAGGGAAAGGAAACAAAGATAAAAAGGAAGGATGAGAACAATAATCAGAAATAGATGTAGGAGAGGTTAGAAAAGTAGAGAGAAAGAGAGAAAAGTACATTTCTTACAAGAGCTTCTAATGCATGTGACTGTGTTCTGGTTGCCATTTGGAACAGAAATAGTGCAATCACTTGGACCCTATGGAGATAGCCTATCCCTTATTTTAAACTGCAGTATTTCTTGAAATCCCTAGCATCAGGTACCTGTATCCAGAGATCACAGGAAACTTGGGGAAAGAGGCAGGAAGGAAAAGAGTAAGGACTGTAATGTGATCTAGGGAAGGACTTCTGGATTAGTATGTCTGCTGGGTATCAACACTGACTGTTTCTGGGATATTGAACAAATCATATCACTTCTTTCTGGGCAGACCCTTCCCTGAGCTTCTACCACCCAGCTCAGAGCAGAGTTAAGCATTGTTTTCACAGTCTCCATGCTTCAGTGCCCTTCTTCTGGTGTGGAAAATTGAGAACTGAGTAATGCAGTCATTACTGGGACAATCATACTTTCTTTTCCTTCCTCCTTCTCTTCCTTCACCTCCGTATTTCCATCATTGAATCAGGTGTCCTCAGCTCCTGCTGCCACTCAAGAAACTTTAAAAACAAAAACCAAACTCACTGCTGTAGAGTCTGATCTGATTCATAGCGACCCCTCTTTGGGTTTCTGAGGCAGTATTACTATGGAAGTAGATTACCCAATCTTCCTTCTGAGGAGTGGCTGGTGGGTTTGAACTGCCAGCCTTCTGGTTAGCAGTCAAGTGCTTTAGGCACTATCTGTGAGCCGCAAACTCCCTTGCTCTAGCCCCATTTGCACAGATGGTAAAACAGAAGTCAGAAGAGTATGTATTGAGCACAACATGCCCAGAATCCAGAAGAGAAGTAGAAGTAAGGATTTTGAGGTTCTGACTTTCTGGACCTGTACTTATACAAATTCTGGAGATCAGATGAGGAAAGACTTCCAGTCTTCGCCAGATAGCTTTCACAGAATACTGCCACTTTATACCCTGGCGTTTGAAATAGGAAAGATCTTACCTAAAACATTTATTAATAGAAGCAGAAATCTAGGAACAAGTTGGCCTCATAAAGGAACAAATTCTTCATCACTTGTCCACATGGGTTCATGAGCATCCAGAAGCTACCTGCCAAGAAGCCAACATTCATTGATAGAAGACCAAATACAGGCAATTCAGAACCTAGCTCTGCCACTCACCAGCTGTGTAATCTTGATCAAGTCATCTGACCTCTTTCAACCTGATTTCTTACCTATGACCTGGAGAGGTTGATTCTTACTTCATGGACTGTCAAGGAACTTCCACATAAGTATTATCATGCAAGACACTTGTCTTAAGAGCCAATCACATTAGGTGGCACTCAGCAGTGGTCAAAAGCATAATTTTCCTGTTAAGTTCCTTTATTTGAATGGGAGACCACTTCAGTGAGAAAATTACCTTAGTGGTGGTCAGCTCTTTGGTCTGCTCATGGTGTGCCTATTACAGGGTTGAGCACACAGGCAGACAGACAGACAGGGAGTGGCAGTGGAATTTCAGGTCTTGCAGAATCTAACTTGTGAGCAAGTGAAAAAGCTGGAGTATTTATCCTGTTATGAGGGCCCCAGCTGAGAGTAGGGATTCCCTAGGGACACTAAAAAAAGAACACTAAAAATACCTCTGGGATGCTGGGAAGAGGTAGCAAATTGAGGCTAGCAAATTTGGGCCTTGATGGGGGAAGGAATGATAGGATATCAGAGAAGATCAACCTTGAGGGTTCAGTGCTGGTAGGAAAGGTGTAGTTGGAGAGATCTCTAAGCACAAATAATGCAAAAGGATTTTTAGCACAGGAAAAATTGTGGGATATATTGTTCATTTAGCTTTTTATCCTGGGTCCTTCTCTCCACCCCAAATATTGGCTTCTCAGTATTTCTTTTGGGCAAGGTACTTAACTTCTCTGAACATTAGTTTGTCATCTGTAAAATAAAGAGATGAAGATTAGATGAGATGATATATACAAAGTATGTATCATTTTGCCTCATCAATGACAAACACTCAATAAAAAGTTTGAATTGTTATTTTATTATTTTATCCAATTAATTGAACATTCTATTATATGCGAAGGAGATGAAAGATTGTACCCCTTTTTCAAGGAGCTCACAGTTGCACAGACATACAAAAACATATTACAATGGAATGGACTATATGTAGACATATGAAAGACAAAGAGACTATTTTATCTGAGGAGGGGTAGCACTGCAAGAATTTTAGGGTTTAGAAATATAAAGTGGACTCGGAGGGAAGGGAAGACCAGAGGAGACAGCATGAACAAATCATGGCAGGCAGGGAGAAATGGAAGTGTCTGGGAACCACTAGAGTCCAGTTCAAAGTAAAAATCTTCACAAATCTTTCCTAATACTCTGAGCCACAATAAATGTCCTTTCTCTCATTTTGCCCCACACAACATCTTATCAAATGTGGTTTGTGTGCTTCAGTCCACTTTAAATTTTCTGATGTGATGTACTATGTAAGTTAAGTAATAGTTCTTAGCCTCTTGTTTTCAACTATAAAAACAGGGCATATATTACTTACCTTATGGAGTTGTGAGATGTCTTATGAAAGATTACATGTAAAGCAATTAGTATACTGCCTAGTACATCATAAGTCCTCAATTAAAACTAAATAATAATAATAATAATAAATGCCCTTGAGTAGATTTCAACCCATGGGAACCCCATGTGTGCCAGAGTAGAACAGTGCTCTGTAGGGCTTCCAGCAGCTGATTTTGCAGAAGTAGATCACTGTGTTTCCTAAGGCCTCTGGCTGGACTCATAACACCAGCCTTTAGGTTAGCAGCTAAGTGTGTTAACCATTTGCACTACCCAGGGATTCTAAGTCCTCGATATTTTTATTTATTTTTTATTGTGCTTTGGGTGCAGATTTACAAAACACATTTGTTTTACATACAACAATTCATGGACATTTGATTTCATGGCCTGATTGCTATTCCCAACCATAAAAAACCCTCTTCTTCCCTCTCCTCCCTGTGACTACCCCCTCCCTGTGCCCTTCTTATCTATGTTTTCCTGTCTGTCCAACATTCCCTCTATGTGAATGCAGCCCCTCTGTTGTCTCATGGCTGGTTGATCTAAGGGGTGCATCTCCCTGGAGTAGGTGTTCTGCATGTAGGTCTTTCTACTGTTGGGCTGAGAGCCAACCCACAGAAGTGAGTCCATTTCTAGGCCTGAAGGGTAACCTGTCCATAGTCTTGGGGGGTTCCATCAGTCTCTATCTGACCCGTAATTCTGATCATTTTTGTGTTTTTAATTTTGTTCCACAGTTTTTCTTCCACTCTATCCAGGATCTCCAATTTTGATCCTTTTCCGAGTAGTTGGCATTGGCAGCTGGGCACCATCTTGTTCTTCTGGTCTTAAGGTTGTGAAGACTGAGGTCTTTGTGGTCCATCATATCTTTGGGCAAGTCCTCAATGTTGTTGTTGTTGTTGTTAGGTGCCCTTGAGTTGGCTCTGACTCATAGTGACTCTATGTACAACAGAAAGAAACCTGTATCTTCCTCACAATATTTGCTGTGCTTCTAAGGAGCATTCTGGCTTTCAAGACAGATTTATTTGTTCTTCTGGCAGTCCATAGTATTTTCAGTATTCTTCGTCAACACCACAATTCAAAGGCATCAATTCTTCTTCAGTCTTCCTTAGTCATTATCCAGCTTTCATATGCATATGAGGCCATTGAAAACACCATGGCTTGAGTCAGGTGCACCTTAGTCCTCAAAGTGACATCTTAATTCTTTAACACTTTAAAGAGGTCTTTTGCAGCAGATATGCTCCATGAAATATGTCATTTGATTTCTTGATTGCTGCTTCCATGGATGTTGATTGTGAACCAAGTAAAAT